CAAGTCGATGAAGAACTCTGTAGGGTAAGGCAGGTCCTAGTCAACAACGGCTTCTCCAATGGTTTCGTTGAAGACATCATAAAAAGGAAGGTGAAACACCATGCAACCTCTGAAGAGTCAACTAACACAACACCTGTACCCCCTATTAGACTATTTTACAGGAACTTCTTTTCCACAGCTCATAAAACGGAGGAAAGGGTCCTGAAAGATATTGTTAATAGGAACGTTATCCCTACAGACAAAAATCAGAAGATACAATTGACAATTTACTATAAAACCAAAAAAACAGCCAACCTACTCATGAAAAACTCTCCTGACACAAAGCAGAACGCCTTAAAGGAGACTAACGTCGTCTATACCTTCGAATGCCCACTTGGGGACTGTAAGCCTCAAAGAACTCAGTATATAGGCAAGACAACAACATCTCTTTCCAGGCGATTAACAATGCATAAGCAACAGGGCTCCATTAAGAAACATATCTCTTCCCACAACCAGGCCATCACCAGAGAAGTCTTAACAAACAACACAGAAATCATCGATAGATACAGCGATAGCAGGCAGCTTGACATCTGTGAGGCACTACACATCAAGAAGTCAACACCAGCAATCAACAGCCAATTGATGCACAACTATATTCTACCCACTTCAAGACTCCGTACCAATATAGAAGCATCAAGAGGAAGTATGGGTCAATAGGCCCTTTGCAGTTACTTCCATTCTTCCCTCTCATTTATCCAATTTATACCCATTGTTCCATGTTCTGCGTTGGTCAAAAGTTTGTTCACCTCTTCCAAAACTGTTACAACACATCACCTCACCCAAATGCGAGTATATAAGACAAGCTGTTTAATGTTAGCATAAGTAAAACTCTGTTTAGTGTTCTCAGGTTAGTTGTGTGTGTATAAACTAAAGCCTCTGAAAATGTAACAAGTTATTACGAAACGCGTTCAAGCCTCGCGTCAGACTAGAAATAAAAATGAATTTTGGAGAATTGATTTTTCAATTACCATCCACAGTAAAAAAGAAACAAGAAATATTGAGAAAATTCGTGGTAGAATTATTAATCTTACCTTTTCGGTCATATTTAACAATATATACATTATATATATATTACTCTTATTACAAATTCGGTACTTACCGCAGTTTGGATCTGGCAACCGAGGTCCCCGTGGCCCGGAACCCTCGGCCTCCACCAGCACTGTTGTGGACCAGCAGACGACATACAGGAGCAGCTCGCCAGCAACATTCCCACTCAAAATGCAGACGTCAAACAACAGCTCTGACCCACTTAGAGTGGATAAGATTGTTAGGTAAGTGAATGTAGGGGGGATATTGTAGTGCAAGATATTATTGTGTAATGATGAGGATCTGTGTGTGTGTGGGGGAGGAAGTTAGTAGGTGGTCATATGGACAATTCATTCTTATATAGGCATGGGTTTTCTTGTCTCTGTACAATGCTTTGGTGTGATGTTTAAAGAATTACTTGTCTGTACACCTATATGGGTGGGATTTAGGGTATTATAGTTCGGTATTTTTGCTGTAGGGGGTATAGGTCATTACGTATACAAGATGCTTAGTTAGCAGACTTAAAACGATAATGATTAATGATAAAACAACCTAATCCATATAACATAACCAAGTCTAACTTAGTAGTACATTTTTATCAGAAAACTAGCCTTGTTGAAATGATTTTTTACTCCCATTTTGTTTGGAGTTTGAAAAGAAATGGCGAGGGTTAAACAAAGCTCATTTATTTATTTATATACAAGAAGGTATATAAGATTTTTACTTAATTTTTAGTTTTGACAGATAAGACCATATTAAATCAGATACAAGTCATACCACATACACGATGACTCGCAAACAAATGTTAAAACCTATCTAACCTAGGGTTTCCGGGTTCGATCCCCGGTGAAGGCAGAGACAAATGGGCAAAATGTTTTTCATCCTGATGCCCCTGTTACCTAGCAGTAAATAGGTACCTGGGAGTTAGACAGTTGCTACGGGCTGCTTCCTGGTGGGGGTGTAACAAAAAAGGAGGCCTGATCGAGGACCGGGCCGCGGGGACGCTAAGCCCCGAAATCATCTCAAGATAACCTAGCTCAACCCAACCTAAACTAACCAAACCAAGAATCAACCTAACCCAAACCAATGGAGTCCAGTACAGCTTAACCTAAGCTAATACATCCTACCATAACAGTATAGTGTATACGGTTTTAACAAACGGGAAAACGAGCATCGTCGAATTATTTCATGTCCAAAAAGTACCATCCATAAAGTTTGATACGTTAGGATGTATTAGCCAAGATTAGGCTGTGTTAGGCTTGGTTGGTTTGAGTTAGCCTGGGTAAGGTTAGGTAAATTTTCCAATCCATTGGTGAACAGTCATGTGTACAGGGTGACACATTATTACAGACCGTTTTACTAGTGATAAAAAAGCAATGTAGGACTAACACAACTATTGGAAAACAACAGTTGTGTTATCAGTGTATAGTAGTAATTAATAATTTTGTACAAAGTTTGCATAAAAATGTTAGGTGTTTCAAGTAACTCACTAGGTTCTGGTAGACCTTTCATGACCCGTATAAAGGCCAGGCTGTGTGTGAAGAACTGTTAAAACCATCAACAGGTAATATACAGAAATGTTTATTGAACTAAATGCAGCTGGCCGAAGCAGCCATTGACATGAAACTGTTAGCGGCCAGTTTCATGTTAGTTACGTATTTATGGAAACTCTCCATCAGCGACCACATAACCAGATTTTAAAATGCACTATAATCTTAATTTAAATATATTTTGTTATTACAGTACTGTATCTGGTTTTCTTTACAAAGTACAGTATTTATATCATCCTACCCACAACAGTTGTTTAATTTCCGAGTACCTGTTTACTGCTAGGTGAACAGAAGAATTAGGTGAAAGGAAATGTGCCCAGCCATATCTGTCCTGACTGGGAATTGAACCCAGGATCCCCAATTGGGAGTCAAGGGGGAAGGCAACCGATTTTTACCTGACTTTACCTGAGGGCCACTAACGTATTAGTGGCCTCGACGAGAACAGAAAAGCTTGTCCAAAGTCCCCTCATTTGCCTTGATTATTTTTTTCCAGTTGGATTTTAAAATGTAAGAGTTTGGGCAATTATGTTTGGCAGGTAGGCAGTTCCATGGGTTTATAACCGTATGGGGGTAAAAGGCATCTCTTGTTTTCAGTCCTATGTTGTGGTTTGTTGAGCTTTTATAAGACATTATCTGGATCAACATCCTCCAAATTGTTCAGTATTTTAAAATTTCAATGAGGTCTGCTAAGTCATGTCTGGTTTGAAGTGTTGTTAGTGCTGTGGCCCTCAACTGTTCCTGGTATGAGAGTTGATTACACTGTGATACCCTCAACTATAATAAATTCTGTTTTCAGACAACATACAGCCTCTTTGCTCAAACCCCTGGACATACTAAACATTTAATCCGTACTCTTCATTCTCTTCACATTATAAACACTTGCAAAGCTCTGTTCCTTAATACTAACTCAGATTTTAAACTTCCGAATTGTATGAAATAAGAATGTTTGTGATGTTCTGCATGAACATCACTGCTGAAATATCTCTAAGATTCTCTATGCAGGTCTCTATATAGAGAGACCAAATGTGTGGAATTTCCTAACCCAATGTCTTCACTTTAGTATCCCACATTGTGCTAATTACTCATCTAGTGCTGTACTATCTACAAATGCACTCCATCAACATAATTTCTCATCACCCTTATTACTACCTTACCTCTCGCTTAACAATTAGCTTAGCTTAGATGTCACGCTATTGTGATTTCTGTGTATAATGAAGTAAGGGCGAAGAGGTAGAACGGCCTATTGACATAGCTCGAGTGCATGGGGGGAGTTGTGTAAAATCCTGGTTTGTCTCTCGGAGAGGCTGCAGGATCCAAGTAAATTCAGAAGAATTTCTGGTTGCAATTCTTATACCATGTCGTAGCTCAGTCGATTAAGGCAGCGTCTGGGATGCTCTTGGACGCAAGTTCGAATCCTCGTCACGGCCCCTTGTAGATTTGTTCTCTTAAGATTAACTGTTTCCCTTGTACAATAATTTAAAATTCACTGCAAATTTTGCGTTAGCTTTAAGATTTGCCTAAAATGCTATGCATGTTAGTGGCTTTACAAGAATGTACAGATAATGGCGATTCATTTGTACAAATAACCCATTGTAGTGAATAATATTGTAGTGTCAGGGGGGGCCTAACGGCTGAGTGGACAGCGCTCCGGATTTGTATTCCTAAGGTTCCGGGTTTGATCCCCAGTGGAGGTGGAAACAAATGGGCAGAGTTTCTTTCACCCTGATGCCCCTGTTACCTAGCAGTAAATAAGTACCTGAGAGTTAGACAGCTGCTACTGGCTGCTTCCTGGGGGGGTGTAACAAAAAGGAGGCCTGGTCGAGGATTGGGCCACGGGGACGCTAAGCCCCGAAATCGTCTCAAGATAACCTCAAAATACTGTAGTGTAGTGGTCAACACAGTCAGCTCGCAATTGAAACGTTCGGGATTGATTTCTGCCGCAGGACAGGGACGTTTGGCACGTTTGCTTTTGCCCGATGCCTGTGTTCACCTAGCGGTAAATAAGTACCTAGGAGTTGGGCAACTATTGTTGGTTGCATCTTGGGAAAGACTAGTAGTTGGCCTAGAGGGGACCTTGATAAACCTAACTGGCTTTGTCCCAATGGGAAATCATACTTAAGTACGATACAAGTAAAAAACTTTTCAAAATCTTTTCTGTGGAGAGCCTTGTAGGCTCCAGGGAGCCTCTGGGCTCACCCAGAAAATGGTGTTTCATTACATTCAGTGCTGTATTTTTTTTTTTTCAAATAATGTTACTTTTGTGAGGGTTTGTGTACAGTAATTATTGAACTTCATTGTTGTTTGTATTTGTAATATGTTCTCTCATCTTCCCTCCTGATTTTCCATAACTAATCACTTCTTGCAAAGAGAATTATAAAACCTGTGTTTATTGAATTCATTTTATTTGCCTTCTCACTCATGCTTTAATGTTACTTATTTGATCAATAACACCTTACTGATACAGTAATAATAATAATACATTAATATTACATTTTTATACATACCAACTGCAATATAATGTAATTTGACCATTGACAGGTACAAACCATCAGCACAAGGGACTCCAGGGGCCCCTGGTGAAGATCCAACTACTGACTACATGAATGTACTAGGCATGATCTTCAGCATGTGTGGTCTAATGATGAGAGTAAGTTTTGGGTTTCTGGCATTATAGGGTCTGTTCTGAAGCCCACGGTATCATCCCTATTGTCTACCACTATCATCCCTATTCATCCTGGCACTAGCTTGCTCAGTTTTTTTTGTTTTCAACTCATATTTTATGAACTACTGTATATTGTATGTAAGTGATGTTGGCATTCATGGGAACATTTTCTGTGGGAGCCATGCTTTTTGTATTGTTTATATTCATGCTTCACTTGTCAGTTTAAGGCACCCATCTTGTGTGCCCTTAGCTGTTCATTCATTCTGATTTAGTTTCTCAACTCTCTGCCTTGTAGCTAGTTTGTATTACCCATTCCCACCAGTAATATTTTTCAAGATTCTGGGTGTTGTCCTAGTCAGGGCTTCTCCTTTTGAGTTGCCATTACATCAGTACTGCTTGGGACTCGGTCCACGTGGCCAGGCCTGTTGCTGGGTATTTTAGTGTGTGTTATGTCTGATTCTGACTCGTGTGCCATGTTGGTGCCTTGCATCATCTTCTGTGTGTACAGTTGGAGTCACACTAATAATACTTCAATACCTGTCACATAGGTCTGATCTTTCTAGTTTTTTAATTGATAGGAGGTTGGAGAACCGTCAACTCAACCCTTGTGACTAACATGGATGTCCATTATTCGGTAATTATTGTGCCGAAGATTGTAATTAAGTCAAAATACATTTTCACTTTACTGAAAAATTTATGGCATGAGCGTGAAGTGAGCCAAAAGTGTGACAAAGCAACAGCAGTCGGCTGAATGCTGGGCATGGGGGAAGAGGGAGGGAGGGTGTGAGACTATCCCTTCCTCATTTCCTCTCTCAAGCTTGGTGAAAAAGTTCTCTCCTTTTGAATGTTTGGTTTCAATAAAGTTGTGTGTGTGTACATCTATAATTTTAATACCAAATTATCCGTGATCAGTATCATATGCCATAATCAAGACGCATCATAAAAGAATTTTTTGCGAATAATTTATTAATAATAATAATTCATTGTGTTGGAGGACTGGCAGCCAGGTTATACATACAGTACATGTTAGGTTTGTATCCAGGTTCCCCCCCCCCTTTCCCCCCTATCCCTAGGGTCTAATTACTGACCCTCCCCAGTATGCAACCCCACAATAAGCTGACTGACTTTTGGGTACCTATTTCCTGCTAGGTGAACAGGTACATTAGGTGATAGGATACACACCCGCCATTTCTATCTTGCCTGGGATTTGAACCCAGAATTCTAGATTGCGAGTCAAGAACGAACTCGACTATACTACCGGTACCCTCAATTTACTGGGATTTATGTCAAGAATGGTTGAGTTTGTGTAAATCCTGGTCATTATGTTATGTTGGGACCACCAATAATTGTCATATACTGTAATTATGATTTTTAAATGGAATTGTTTGCCAATGATTGCTCTATCATATGCCATTGTCAAAATGATAAGTACATACTGTAATAGATCATGTTGGACCACAAATTTTAGATCCATTTGGCATAGGGTCTCCATTTTTGTGCAACTCTGGAGCTCTTCTCAGTGTTACCTTGAGGTGCTTCCGGGGCTTAGCGTCCCCGCGGCCCGGTCGTCGACCAGGCCTCCTGGTTGCCGGACTGATCAACCAGGCTGTTGGATGCGGCTGCTCGCAGCCTGACGTATGAGTCACAGCCTGGTTGATCAGGTGTAATTATGTTTAGAGCAGGGTTCTTCCCAGCTGGTTTCACCATTTGTGTTGTCTTCAAAGATTGCCTTGATAGCATTGCTCTAGTTGTTTGAGCTGCTGCTGTGGGATGTGGTTGCATATTTACACTATATGCGGCCTGTCGTGCTTTCCAGCGTGCAGTTCTAGATCATCAGGAATCTTCTTAGTTGTATTCCTTGCGGTTTGCCTCTCTTTTTACACCCTTTCTACTTTCTGGAGGGAAAGGGAAGGGAAGGGAATTATTAGGAGAAATCACTAAATCATTATAACTATATAGCATTTGGAAGGGATCAATATAAGGATTTTTGATGGGACATGGGGACGAAATTGTGCCCAACCACTTGGACAGTCGGGGATTGAAAACCGGCTTGCAAAAAAATGGGCCTTCGCTCTACTGTCTAGCCCAAGTGGTTGGGCGGGAAGGGAAGGTAGATCAATCTTTGATAGCTGGCAGTGCAGTATTTTAGCCTCAGTCTGCTTCAGTTGAGTTCTTCGGATCCAGCTTTGGGCCATGTGTAGATCCATATCTCCTGGTTCCTGGCTGGGGTAGGGGTTCTAGTGCATCGTTCGCTCTGGACAGTGCTCCTGTTCACCCTTCGTTTTTGAAGTGTTGACCTTTTAGGCAAGTTGATTGAAACCTCAGGTAACCTCAGGGCTGTCATCTGGTGGAAGATGGGTAAATCAAGGGCCTACCAGAAAAAGATGTTTAATTATACAGTATTCAATGCTTAATTTTCACATATATAGTACAGTACATGTTTTAAGTAAATAATATCAGACTTTATCTTGGATCATTTTCTTATTTAGGGTTTTAATCTTATAATACTTATATTGAGGAATGTGATTTCTACTCACTTTATGAATTTTAATCCTCCAAATACTGTATTATTAAAACTATGATTATAGAAATTTTAGACATTGTTGTTATAAATGATACTCTATAGTGAACTCATTATTTCTTACTTGCAGTTGAAGTGGTGTGCTTGGGTTGCGCTATACTGCTCCTGCATCAGCTTTGCCAACTCGAGAGTCAATGACGATACGAAACAAATGCTCAGCAGCTTCATGTAAGGTTTATCTTGTTTTCTTCTGAAATTTGTATATTACTAAACCCATAAAGGTACAACCTGTCCTCATAGCATGTCACATTTTAACATATACTTTACTTTACACAAGGCCAAAACCTGGTGTACTAAGGCAAATAAACATTGCGACGGGGTAAATACCCTAACTGTGCAACCTGTCCTCTTACAAATTACGTCTGAATTTGGTCGTTTGCCCATATGGCCGAAAATGGACGTAATTTAAAAATAAAAAAATTAAAATAAATTTTGGATTTTGTTTCAAAACAGTAAGTTAAGGGTCCTCTCGTAGGTTAGGAGGGCAGGAAATTGTCCTCAAGTTTCAAAAGCTATGAAAAACGTTAAATGAAAGTTTCCTCTCCTAACCTTTCCAAGTAAGCCAGAGGACTTAGAGAAAACGCGACAGTATGTCACTTTCGTGAGCCAATTTCATTTCAAATTACGTTCATTTTTGGATATAGCATGCATTCGAACGAAAAGCGACGTTATTTTCAAGAGGACAGGTTGAACCATGATGTGCCTGACCACCATCATATGGTGGGTCAGGTCACCTAAAGTCCCAGCTAGCCTGCCATCCCCGCTCGTTGAGCCAAATGGAACCCCCAAATATTCTATAAGGAAGAGAACAGGACTGGGAGGTGAGCGATTGACTACATGCCTGAAAAGGGCATTTCATTACCTGGATCTGGATTTGTACCTGGATAAGGGGGTTCTGGGATTTCTTTTCTCCAAGCCTGGCCTGGGCCAGGCATGACGTGCAAGATCTTGGTCCAGTAGACTGTTGCTTGGAGTGGCCTGCAGGGCCATATTCCCACTTACAATCTAGTTAGTCCAGCACTTCTTGCAGGAAACTCTAATTTTTTCTTGAAGAAATACTTTTGTTCCAGCCATACTTATTTTATTTGCTGTGAGGATATTAAGGAGCCGTGGTCCTTTGATATTCATACAGTGTTCTATGATTGTTCCTGTGGCACCTTTATTCTTCACTTGCGCTATTCTGCATTTCCTACCATATTGTTCGCTCCACTACCTTACCTTACCTTGAGGTTACCTTGAGGTGCTTCCGGGGCTTAGCGTCCCCGCGGCCCGGTCGTCGACCAGGCCTCTTGGTTGCTGAACTGATCAACCAGGCTGTTGGACGCGGCTGCTCGCAGCCTGACGTATGAGTCACAGCCTGGTTGATCAGGTATCCTTTGGAGGTGCTTATCCAGTTCTCTCTTGAACACTGTGAGGGGTCGGCCAGTTATGCCCCTTATGTGTAGCGGAAGCGTGTTGAACAGTCTCGGGCCTCTGATGTTGATAGAGTTCTCTCTCGGAGTACTTGTTGCACCTCCGCTTTTCAACGGGGGTATTCTGCACATCCTTCCATGTCTTCTGGTCTCATGTGATGTTATTTCTGTGTGCAGGTTTGGGACCAGCCCCTCTAATATTTTCCACGTGTAAATTATTATGTATCTCTCCCGCCTGCGCTCAAGGGAGTACAGATTTAGGCTCTTTAGTCGGTCCCAATAGTTTAGATGTTTTACTGAGTGGATTCTAGCAGTAAAGGATCTCTGCACACTCTCCAGGTCAGCAATTTCTCCAGCTTTGAAAGGGGCTGTCATTGTGCAGCAGTACTCCACTCTAGAGAGCACAAGCGTTTTGAAAAGTATCATCATCGGTATAGCATCTGTTATAATATTGTGCAAATTTTGGACCTGGATATTCATACAGTGTTCTATGACTGTTTCTGTGGCACATTTTTTCTTCACTTGCGCTATTCTGCATTTCCTACCATATTGTTCGCTCCACTATGTTATAATACTGTGCAAATTTTGGACCTGGAGTTCAGTCCATGTATACAGTACATGATACCTCTCTTGTCTCCTTTCCAGAGTACATTTTGGGAGCTTCAAATGGTCCCAATAATTTATGTACTTTATTGTGTTTGTGTGCTGAGTATGTCCTCTGTATTCCCTGTGTTTCAACAATCTCTCTTGCTCTGATTTGTTATTTTTGGGAGAGCCCTGTCAGTAGTTTTCTGAGCTTACTTGTCAGTCACTATAGCATTGACTTCATGATTTTCCTAAGGGTGACAACACTTGCATAATTGTCTTTTGTTATTGAATGTAATTTAAATTACATTAATCCAACCCATTGTTACTGGCTAATAGTTCTGATTTTCAAAGTAAATTATCATAATTAAACAAATATACTTTTATTTGCTTGTCACAAATAATTTACTAATTATATTAACATTTCAGGTTGTCCATTTCTGCAGTTGTGATGTCCTACCTTCAAAACCCACAGCCAATGACACCTCCATGGTCCAATATATAAACAGTTCTATATTATCGATTGTTTTTGGTTGAATGGAAATGTATAATTGCCTCACCATACTTGTATTAAAATTGTACTGCTGAATGACAGTGACAATTTTAGTTTTAATAAACTAGCTAATGGTGCCAGGTTTGTATTATGATGTGCAATATGGAACAGTGCCAACATTTGATGATGTGCATGAGTTACAAAATGGCTTGGTTTGTTAATCTTTTAATTTGTGTAGCCTGCACTATATAATTCTTGTGTTATACTTCCCATCCAAAAGTTTCTTGTAAGCAGCTTGTCTTTTTTTTTCTTTAACAAATGGACAAATTTGTATTGTCCCATAACATTATCATGTCATTCATGCCAGTGTAAAAGGCAATAGCATGAAGGTCAAAGCTTGAAATATCCTGGAATATGAAGTACCATACGAGTTGATCCTCGAGTGACAACCACATTAGTACAGTAGATAGCCTCCATATTAGACATAAAAGGAAGACTTGATCACCACGTTAGAAATAGAAGAGTGAAAGGGAATTGGGAGTGGAATGGTAGGCAGTCAGTATGGGGGAAGGGAGACTTTTGGAGTACAGTACAGTACTGTCCATTCAGTAGAGCCAGGCTGTCACCTGATCGGATGACAGGCAAAGTTATCAGTCACTAGCACTGATTTTATAGTTTTCTTCGAGGTGACATCAACTGCATAATATCTTTTTGATCATGAAATTACATTAACTCCAACCAGTTACTGCTGGCTAATAATTCTTAGACATAAAGGAAAGAGGACAAATCAGAAGAGCATGTTAAGATAGGGCTACCTGAATAGGTTTCAGTTGTGGTTACTCCATCAGAGGGGCGTTCATGGGGATAAAGACAGATTCTACAGTAAATTGTTAATTCCTCTTTTAGGACTGCCTCCTCTTCCATTTTGCTTAGTTATGCAAAGTTGTTGTTTTATGGTTACAAAGGAAACATATCATTCCTTAATTTCTTATTTTGACTGTATCAGAATTTAGAATTTCTAAAATATAGTTACAGGTTGTAAGTACAGTATGTATAACAGTTTATACAGTACTATACTTAGTGTATAAAATATATATTAATGCAGGCCATATGTATTATTGTTAAATATGTACTTTTGTATTTCATAGTAAACCTTTTACCATAATATATAATTATCTTCTCCTTTCAATAGTGCATTTGTCATGTTGAATTATATGGTATATCAGGATTTTATCGGTACTACCTTGTTGACTGCGTGTTCCTCCCGTTACTATACTGTATACAGTATCTCTCCTTCCCATTACAGTATTACGCTGAGATGTATCAGTAAGGTGGTTGGGCTCACTGGCTCAAGCAAAGAATATTCACTATACAATACTATATTGAATATAAATTCAGTGGATTTTGTACTACATGGGAACCTGGTCCAAGATAGGGATTTTAATCTAGCCAGTGACCTGTACAATGAATTTGGCATCTAGATAATGCAGAATTCCTCCAAGACTGATAATTTTAAATTAATATTACTAAAAAATTCAAACAGTGCTTTTTCCATGGGATTTCTGCATCAAATTATGCACAAATGTATGTCCTATCATGTGCACAAATAAAGGGTGAATGCTGTGTGGATCTTGTTGTCCATTAAAATCTGTACAATAAAGCTTTCAGTCACATGCCATCCCTAAGGTGTGGCGTTGTTTACAATTTCCCATTTAGAATCCTTTCATTAGAAAGTATTTACACCACAGTATTGTATGTCGAACATAAAAAATATTAAATGTATAAAGATATTGTACACAATGTGATAAATCAATGATATAATCTTTAGAGCAGGACAGCACGATCGAACCAATGTTGTGGATAACCACAGATGTGCACCTTAACCCATGGACTAGGATGTGCAAAAAGTTACACGACCTGGGGCCGGATTCAGGAAGGTACTTACGAAGGTTTTTCCTCTTAGCTAAGAGCGTTTTCCGTCTTAGCGCCTTCGTGGCGGCTACGTCCGTATTCAATTAACTACCCTAAGTGGAAAAACCTTCGTAAGTTCATTCCTGGATTTAAGTGTGGTTTCGACCACTCGTAGCTTTACGTAAACTGGATATAAGTAATTTTTTCTCTACTACATAACACTGGGATCGATTTATGATATTGGAACATGACCAAAATATTATAGCTGGTGAATCTAGTGAAGAGGAATCCTTCGTGTTAGTTATATATGCATTCTCTGCTTGAAACTTGAAGTAAATATGTGTTTGATGATAGTAGAATTAGTTTTATAATAGCAAGATATTATACCAGTAGTTATTAAGTAAATAAACACTGGTGAACATGAAATATGAGAGAAGGTGATGAGCCCTGCCTGATGGGATCATTTACTATCACCAAATGCGCCTGTTCACCTAGTAGTAAGGGTGTACCTTAGCTATACATACCCATTTCTAATTTATTTAGTTTGGTTTTATTTTGAAATTAAATCTGGGTGAGACATAAAATAAAAATATGCTGCACAAATGATGTTAGGTAAGGAAAAGGGTAAAAATGTCAAAAACTTTATTCATTGAATACTTAAAGCTATAATTATGACTATATAGATTATTAAAAAGAGAGAGGGAAGTAGGGGTCCAAGACCTCTTCCTGTTATACAATTTGGGTGTGGAACAAGTAATTATCAAAAGAAGGCACCATGCCGGGAAGGCTATGTAGCAGTAAGGCAGTGAGGTGAGGCAGCTACTTATTTGAGAAATGCTTATTTTATTTACCTTATAAGCTGAGGCAACTTATTTTATTTGAGGAATACTCAGCTGATTCCTCTACATTTAGCATGGAACAAATTTGTGTCCAAGACCTCTTCCTGTTACTCAATTTGGCTGTGTGTAACCAAACTAGAAGTGCTCTACAAATCAAGGGACCCAGAATGTGGAATGACCTCCCGAATCATGTCAAAGGCTGTACCTCTCTCAACCAGTTTAAGAGTTAAACCAAGTACTGCCAAATTAACTCCATGTAACCTAACTTACCTCCTAAATGTCAACCCATGTCTTGCTATTTTTTAAACAACGCTGTTCACCAACATGTGCAATTGCTGATTTATGCTATGTTAACCCCCTTTTTGTATTTTTTATTCCTTCTTTCAACACAATTTATACCTAATCCCGATTACTATTAAGTTTTAGTCTGTTTTTTTTTCCCCCACACCTTGCCCGAAATGCTATGAGTATTAGTGGCTTTAGGTATTGTATGTACTAGCTCTGCCTATAAATCCATCATTATGTTTGTAAATCAACTGTATGTACTTTTCCTGAATAAAATGTATTTATTATTTATTTTTTAATCAGTAAGTATTAAAAGAAGGCACCAAGCTGGGAAGGCTATGTAGCACCATTGTGTGTAACAATAAACCAAATTTTTTTTAACAAATAATGCACCTGTATGGGAAAACAAATCCTGTCAGCTGTAAAAATATTGATGCAGTTATTTAAATGAAAAATATAATGAAAGAAATATTACTGGTTTATTTTTATCCTATCTTTTTGTACTGTACAGTATATCCAAGGAAGTGAAAAATTGAGACATAATGCACAATTTAATGAATGATTAGCAGTTCAAAAGAAATATGACTTGTATTACATATCAACATGAGATCTTAATGATCCATGGTCAACATGATTTAATAAGGATAATACAGTACTGTATTTGTAATACAAACTATAATTTAAAATCTTTATTACTGATTTTTTTTATTAAGAAGATTAGGTATACACAGCAATGTGCTGCTACCCTAGTCTATATGGAATATTACACAGTGTAGATAAAAAACTAGCTATAAATTTATCTAATACTCCCATCTCACAGGATGGTTAGACATACTGTACATGGAATCAATTTAGAAAATACCAGCCTCAATACAAAAAACAAATCAACTCTGACTAAACAACTCTAAGCAATTTTCACAAGAGGTAAGCACTGAATCATGGAAACATTATATTATAATTACTCTTACCAGTTTCTACAAAACTCCTCTCAAACAATGTATTTTTAAACATGTTTAGGTATACACAGCAATGTGCTGCTTCCCTATTCTGTATAAAGGACCACACAGTGTAGATCAAAAACCAGCTACAAGCTCACCCAACATCCTCACCTCACAGGATGGCCAGTCATACATGGAATTAGGAGAGAACAAAATACTTAATGCTGATCTATTAGCCTCCACTGGCAAAATCTGGGTGCAGCACAAGAATATCTTCCAATATTCCTGAGTGTATGAAGTAATTACAGAGCTCAAAATACCTCATACCATTTGGTATGAAGTCACTGATAACAGGACAATCACAGATATAGTGTTGGAGAGTATGTTCTCTCAAGTAGGACTGAAAACAGATGTTTTTTTTCCACCAAGAGGACTATAAACCCATGGAACCGCCTACCCGCTGAAGCCGTAAATGCCAAATTCCAGCTAAAAAATATCATTAAGACAATTGGCGGGCCCTTTAACAAGCCGCCGGCTTTCTGTCCTCTTCGAGGTCACTAGATAGTTAGTGGCCCTTGGGTAAATTCAGTAAATATATACAATAATTGTCAGCGCATCTTCCGAGCAACAAGGACAGCTACACAGTATCTCTTAGAATTACGTAGGTAAACAACAAATGTAACATATTTGTTTACTACAATGTCGGTGCTGGCTGTAGAAGTTGAAAAAACATTGTTTTACTTCGAAATATACTAATTTTATAAGAAAATTCGACGTAAATAGGAGGCAGTAGAGCTCCGATAAGCCAGCGCTAAATCTTTAATATGAAGAATGTTGCTGCTCTCTGATTGGCCAAACGAAACACAGTAGTGACCTCTATCGGCACGCAGGTGAACCAACAATTTTCTTCCTAAGTATACCTTATTGAATCGCACCTAAGCATCTTCTTAGGGCGCACTTAGGAACCTTCGTAGCAAACCCACTTACGAAGAAATACACAGAGCTTCCTGAATCTAGGTCCCTCTCTAACACCATGAGAGGCCAGCCAGTAATGCTCCTTGTATGTAGAGGGAAGAGTGCTAAAAGTTCTTGGGTATTTGTTGATAGATTTCTCTGAGTATCTATTGCACCTCTACTTTTCAATGGGGCAATTTTGCGCATCCTGCCATGCCTCCTGGACTCGTGTGATGTTATTTCTGTGCGCAGATTTGGAACCAATCACTAATATTTCCAGGTGTAAATTATTATGCATCTCACCTGTGCTCTAGAGAATACAGATTTAAAAAATTTAATATCCCAATAGTTTAATGATTTTTAGAGTGCCTTCTAGCATGCTCTCCAGGTCAGTAATTTCTCCAGCTTTGAATGGGGCTGGCTGTTATTGTGCAACAATATGCCACCCTAGAGAGCATTAGCATCTGGAAAAGCATCATTGATATGGCATCCCTTGTATGAAAGGTTTTTGTTATCCAACCTGTCATTTTTCTTGCAGCTGTGACAGCTACTTTATTGTGTTCTTTAAAGGTAAGGTCTTCCGGCATTATTACACCAAGATGTGATTTGTGTGCTTTGACTTTTATATATGGTTTCCATTTTTATATTTTCATTTCTTCAATAGTGCACTTATAAGATGGAACTTATATTCATTAAAGATCATTATTATCTGTGGCCCTTTAAAAGACCTGATGAACATCAGATTTGAGGTTCGCTGTGTCCTCTATATTATCTACTCACTAGGATTTTCAAGAGTTATCTGCAAAGGATGATGCAATACTATAGGTTGTATCCTTGTTTATGTCTGATAAGAGGATGGGGTAAAAGTACCATCTCCTCAAAAAAAATTCAATCAACAACCCCCTGCAGTGCAGGGATTAAAGTGCTAATTTAAACATTTCATAACAGAAAGTTCAGACATGTCTTGGGAGATAGGCATTTCATGTGCACACTTTTACTATATTAATCCCTGCAATTTGATGGCTGATCAAATCTCCATAATATTGAGAGAAATAAAATCAAATCTGGAGTGAAGAGAAGTTTTCAGAAAGTGTATGAAAATGAGTCAGTGCTGGTAATATTAGTGATTGGGAGCAAATTATTGAAATCTTAGAAATTAGATGTGATTAATTAATGTAAGGTGTTCTTCTAACTTCAAGATGGCTAAAAAAACAGAATATGAAGAGGTAAAGCTAGCTATCCTTGAAGATTTGGAATAATGACTAATGAAAGTAGTAAATTACTCACGGGGATCAAGAAAAAAGGATTGGTTGGGTAGGTGTATGTTGATAATCGTGTAACTTTCAAGTCCATTACAAACACAACTCTCAACCACCACAGTTACTTTTACCAAGTTTTTGGGTCAATACTTCTTGACTAGCTTGATGAGCATTAAATTTAACTACTGTATTGTAAATTACAAGCAAGAATCAATTACTTTTTTTGTATCTGTATCTATAAGAGAGGGAGAGAATATATGGAGGATCCAAGAACTTGTCCAATTTTCCTATAAATGTTTAACAAATGTAATTCATGGTAGTACCAGAAATATAGAGTAAAAGTCTAAATTAACAGGCATCCACAGTAGCCTGCTTAGGATCATTACTCCCATCTTCCACTAGAATTACATAATGACAATCGGTGCCAAGGTCATCAAGAGTCTCAAGTATGATGTCACAAGACGATGATAAGGCTGACTCTTGCGCTGACACTTGATACACAACCTGGGTTTCTTTCACCCCAATGACAGACGGCATAAAAACTATTGTATTTTCAGACTCTACAAAACTCTGATGATCATTGTAATTTCCACTCGAGTGCGAGACTACAGTTGATATGTTTGCGTGTTCCCTTTTATTTAAAACACTGACACACTTACTTGTGAGTTTTGCAGGCAACAGCTGTATTCTTTCAATGCTGTCACCTGAGGAGGTCTGACTAGTGACATCATTGTCCTGTTTATAATCACCACAAGTTCCATTTGGTTTTACTGCATCTGTCAGTTGCTTGTCTCTCACACCAGTAACCAAATCGTTCTTTATTCCTCCAACATCTTTTTCTACAGTATTGTTGGTATCCTGATGTTCATCTTCCTTTCCACTTTGTTTTGACCTGCAATAAGATAAGGTGAGAGAAATGTGACAGCCAAAAATTGTTATTTGTCTCCCCAAACCAGTACTTGCACTTTAAGGTGCTTACATAGTAATTGCAGACAAGTACAAGGGCTTTGTACACAAGTGTAGTTTACTTAGCATACAAAAATCCTACATGACTGACCCTGCAAATACTGTATTTTTATCTTTAACAGATTTTAAATAACTGCCTAGCAGTTGTCTAACATAAGCATTAAGGAAATTGCAGAGGGCCTTTTAGAGTATATGTGGCAGTGCCTGTTTGCACACCCAAACTCTAGCCTACAAATGATCTTGTATTTACTTAATATATTCTTGTGTTATTTTATTTTAGTTACTAAAAATTATATGAACTGTAGATATATAAAGAAAAAGTGTCTGTGTCTAAAAAGTTAGTGTGTGCAGTAATTAACAAAGTAAGACAACTACATTGAACATTTCACTTGATATTAGACCTCATGTGCACCAATAAATGACAATGTTCACCTCCACACATTCTGAATTCAGTAAACCCATATTATTTCATTATACTGTATAGTACAGAAACAACATTTAAGACATATAAAATTAATAAATGAGGCAGTGGTGCTGCTGTAGTAGTGAAACAGTTGAGCATTGCAATACTCCCTCCATTTCCCATACACAGAAATCAATAAACGTCTCGCAGACTACCAATTTACTAAACACAAATTACTAAAATACTGCATGAAGGATAATACAGTACAGTAAATCTGTATTCAGTTAATAAAAGTTTGGAAAAAGACCATTACATCAAATTATAGAGCATTGAAACATCTTTTTCTGGGGAACCCTCAGTGGCTCCTCACAGCTTATGCACTTACACCCAAGGGCCAATAACAGCTCGCCAAGTCATCTCGGGCTTTCTCATTGGCCCACTGGAGATGAACCAGAATCATGTTTCCTCACTGAGGTCAGGGAGCCAAGGATAGACACCACACACTGAGGTCAAATCTTGCCAAAATGGTAAGAGGGGTCATAAAAACTCAAAACACTTCTAAAGACATGTTTGAAACAACAAATACAAATAAGCAAATAAACTTATTCACGAATAAGTCAAAATCAAGACTTAAGTGTAATGAAATGCCTTTTTCTGGTGGATCCCTTTAGTAGGTCGCCCTCGGTGGGTCCCTAAGCGTACCACCTGGTTAGCTCTAAAGCATCCTATCAGGCCCTCCTGAGTCATGAGTACTTCCGAGGGATCAGGAATAGAAACTCACCCCCCCCCCCAATAGAGGAAAGGGAATCTAGAGATGAGAGATCAACCCAGACCAAAAGGAAAACCACCAGAAAAGAAGAGTGCCTCTAACCAATCTACTGCATGAAAGACATTGTTAACCATGACACAAACTAGGTATGCACATATTTTTCAGTCAAGACTGCTGCAACATCAGACATGTGCCACTCAAAAGTAACTCCCAAGAATCACGGAAGGAAAAATGGCCAGAAAAGTGGAGCCACCGAAGGGACCCACCAGGAAGGATTGTTTCATCACATTCAATGCAAGATTTCTAGGAAGATTCCTTTTGATGGCTCCATAAGCAAACTCACAACAAAGAACAAGAAAATATGGCCTACCAGGGAAAGAGTGGAGGAGAAGCAAGGAACCTCAAAGGAAATCAGGGCTGGGTTACCCAACTTAATGCCTTGCAAGCCTGACACTGGCAAAGAAAATAAACCAACTACCAGTACCGTGCCATGAGCACCTGGTTAGACTACCAAACCTCACAAGCCTGAACCAAGCTCAGGACATATTTGCAATTTTGCAGACATCATAGGACCATGTATAGTCTGCAGCTGACTAAGTTTAAGCACCCTACAGACAACCAGAGACATCCATGCCCTCAAACAAGGAACTAGACACACCATGTTGATATCTTGTCAACCAGGAGCACCCCAGCTGGCATGCAAGTAACAGCAAACATCTACATTAAGACAAAGGTGATGAACCCACAGCTGAAGGAACTGTCTTAGTAATTAAAGGACCCCTCTAGAAACCCACCATCTTATTCTTAGCCAAAAAAAAGATGACGACTACAGACAAAGGGAACCAAAGGAACAATATCCCTACTCTGTGAGGAGAGCATGAAGTTCCCAAACATTCAATATTTTTTTATGGCCAATTTAGTGTTTACAGTTCATGTACTATACTAGGTCTAAGAAAAGTTAGGCCTATATTTTGGGCCATATACAAAATTAATACAAAATAGGGGGTGCAAGTTTATATTTTGTACTCCATATCATCAATAGTAAATATAGATACTATAATATTTGAATGATACTTGAAATGAACACATCCTTATTAACTTACTTTTCAGTATTCTTAGAATGAATGTATCTCATACCAGTTTCTATTGAATTCTTCACACAGTCCTCTTCATGCTTTTGTAAAGCTTCCTCAGCAGAAAAGTGGGTCTTGCATTTTGAACATTTGTGCTGAGTAAATCCATGAACCTAAAAGAGACATAGTTCCTTAGAACAGTTCTCTGCTATTATTCTGCTGCTGCCATAGGTTATATATCATACATGATTCAGTGGCGTGTGACCAACTGTCAGGCAAGAGATGGATAGAACAGATGCCAGACACACCACACCATTCCTGCAAGGCCCCAAATCTAGCCAAAATAGACTGATGCTGACAATGTCTGTTCACAAGCACAAACCATTCCAGAATTCACAGTGATGTCATATATTTGACCACCAATGGGAATACTAGATTACCTTAATTGCCAATTACAAATAAGTTTGCATCACCCGACAGCCACTTTGTGACCACACCTCCCCAACTTAGGGTCAACCAACCAACACACCACCTTGCACACCTCCAGATTGCACCTCAAGTGGATAATAACTAAAGTTAAAAGACCCAGTCGAGTGATCATGTGATCCAACAGTTTTATGTTGACTATGTAACTGTGGGCAGTTTACTACCTACTGAAAATTTAAGTGTTTGAGTTTCCCTAGTTTTACAAGTACTGCACATGTAGTATCTCAATATTTTCTAAGTACCTTTTGGAAAGTGGCCAGGTGTGGTCACTTCTCAGACTTGAGCGAGAGTGAGTGAAAAGTGAGAGCATTTGATACCTGTAGTTTACACCGCTGCCCATGAATTTCTCATAGGCTCTTGCTGGTCCACCTTCTCGTCATATGTCCCAATTCCTATTAAGGTTGGGAATAGCGGAGCTGTGAACCTAAGAGGTACAGTATTTACTCCAACAGGAGGTGTCTGGGTTTTTCTCATACAAAATTATACTGGAATTGGTTGGGGCCTTGACTTGGCCCATTGGTGTCACATCTTTTTCTGGTTAGTACAGGGAATACAGAATTATTTACCTGGTTACGTAGTAACAGCAGCACTCTCTCCAGGTTAAGATGGTGTTTGCAATTTTTTTTTATCTTATCTTTTATCGGGGCCATTAGACAAGATGAGAGTAAGTATGTTACCCCAACATTGTTTTTTGTTTCCAACAGCAATGGCTAATTTATTCTCCATCCCATCCTGTGAGCACTAGCATAAAAGAATTACAGTGGGTATAAAAGGCATTAATCAGACATCTGTGGATTTTGATTAGCTTTTATAATTTATCTGATCTTCATATCTAATTATAATGATAGCTACAGTACACTTCTTGAACTGTAACTGCATACTTATGACTCGGCCTGCTGGAGTGCTTTGACCTGAAGCTAACCAGGTAGGCACCTCTGGGAGCCACTGAAGGTACCCACTGGAAAGATGCGTTTCATTCCATTAACCGACGGATTTATTTTTAACATGAATGGCCTCTGAAGGACAGATCTTGGCAATGATGGGATGCATAAAAGAGAAAACTAATTCTTTATGTACAGATGATGGTATGCAAAGAATGCTTTGTCATCTTAGGTAGGAGAGGAAACTCCTGCAAGCTTCAGAGCACAAACTTTGTTGAACTGACTGTCATACTCAAAATAATGGGTACAAAGGTGATAAATGGTCAGGAACCTTCTTTATGAATCGAGCCCCAGGTTTCGTGTCTCCGGCATGAGTACAGTAGGTGCATATCACTATAATCCAATATCACGTTATTTGCCATTGGAGCAGTGACATCTCCAAAAGACTGCCCCACCTCTTACCTATCAGTGACTATGAGCGAGCAAGATCTAACTCTATGCCCTATCTCCTAACCATTTATACCTGTTGCGCTAATTACCTCTCTTTCAGTACAGTATTAATGTTTTAATCATATTTTTTCCTTCGTGTTGTGAATGGAATTGGTTTCAACAACAATCCAATACTGCATATAGAAAATAACAAACCTACACCACAAATTTCATGCAAATTCAAAGATATCAAAATCTTTAGCTTATATATTTATATATATATATATATATATATATATATATATATATATATATATATATATATATATATATATATATATATATATATATATATATATATTATATAGTGCTGTATTTTATTCTTAAAAGCCTTATTGTGATACTTACCTTTCGCATGTGATAGGTATAACTGCCATGAAACTTCCAATGTTTATTGCAGCTAGAGCAGTGAAATAATGATTTTTTCTGATGATGTGCTCGCTTGTGGAGTGTCAGATTGGACATGCAACTGAACATCTTGTCACATTCAGTGCAAGTGTAGCCCTTATGTGCCCTCAAGTGTTCAGCCAAGAGGGAGGTGTGTGGGAAAGTGTGGCCACACTGAGAACACTGATGAGTTCCATGTGACACCCCATGAACACGAGCTTGGTGCCGCTCAAGGGCTTCTTTCCTGCTGAAGCTTCGACCACATTGATCACACAGACATCCCTACCAAAAGTAATAATTAAAAATATAATACAAGGAGCATAAAGGGAAACGAATATTTGAGTGTTTATTTATGAAACATAAAACTACTGTAATTAATATTTGCCACTAGAGTACCCTGCCATATAAAAAAATGTTAAGCCCTTAACCAACAAAAAGAGGTTATTACCATCCGTTGATCTCTGGGTTAAATGAGTTAACCCTTAAGCTGCTCAGCTATTAATGCAGTTTATTTTTATTTTCTTTATTATTGTCCACTTTTATGCATATGATGTTAATATGGGCATAATAGCTGTATTTTGATGTAACGAAGTTAACCAAGACCTATGAACAAAAATTTATAATGGCTTACTATGCAATGAGGTTATCATGTACCAGTGGCATGCGATTATCATCAAATCTCAATTTGGTCTTTCCTGCCAGTGAATGAATCTACTTCTGGACAACATTCCCAGACAGAATAGCAGCAAAGTGTTTAAGTCTTATATACTGTACAGTAGTTGTATATACTGTATTACATTGTAGGCCTGTATATAGTACTCAGTCAATCATTATCAATTATTTGTACAACTGTACATAAATACTGTTATTCAACACAAAAAATAATGTAAACTGATAAGTCAAGCCTTGAACATAATCATTTAAGCCCTCTCATTCTTACACAAGTCAGCAAGCAAGCTGTACATTTAGTGCCGACACACTCATTGACCCCTCCACCTATCTACTGTGTACACCTCAAATAACCAGAAAAGATTTTTATCCCCTTTCCTAAAGGGGCACCCACCAGCGGGAAGACTGAACAGCCCACAAACCCAATACAGATGCAAATTGACAACCACCCAGCCTGCCTACATTGTTGCTCATGAATCTATAGTTTGGTGTGATACTGAAGATCTGACCGATACTCAGGTGGGTAGCCAAGAGAGCTACTGAGGGAACCCTCCAAGAAATTCTCTATTAGCCAAAGCACACTATGGTGATATTTTATATTAACAATTACACAGTAATCTTACTTGTTTAATTACTGTTAATTCTTCATGAAATGACTTCATATGTCGTGGTAAGTATGCTGCACTGGAGAGTCTCATCTGCTGATAAAAATTTAGAAGGAAATTAACATGTAATATAGTGTACATATATGCATGCACGCACGCACACACACACATGCAAGGCTTACCTTGAGGTTACCTTGAGGTGCTTCCGGGGCTTAGCGTCCCCGCGGCCCGGTCGTCTAGCAGGCCTCCTGGTTGCTGGACTGATCAACCAGGCTGTTGGATGCGGCTGCTCGCAGCCTGACGTATGAGTTGGCCTGGTTGATCAGGTATCCTTTGAAGGTGCTTATCCAGTTCTTTCTTGAACACTGTGAGGGGTCGGCCAGGCTGGGCCGATTGCCCATACCTGAACCTTAAAAACACCTTTTATGGAGTTCCACACAAGAGACTTTTCAGGACGTTAGAACACATTGGAGGGGTAACAGGCAGACTATTGAATTGAATGACAAAGTTTCTACAAGACAGACAAATAAAAGCAGTGATTCAGAGGAAATCTATTTGACTAGAGTATAATGTCACTTGAGAAGTACATCAAGGTTTAGTTCTTGAATCTGTATCATTTGCAGATGATACTAAAATGCTAAGGAGAATCAAAGACTTGGATGATTGCCTTGCCCTCCAATGTGATCCAGATAAAATAAGTGAAAGAATAACACTCATCATGGTAGGTGGAATTCAATGTAAATGTCACACAATGGTATGTGGAATAGGAAAGTATATGCCACACATAACCTACAAATTACTGTATGTGAAAAGATTTCATGAGGAAAGAGATCTGGGATTCGTTATGGCTTCAATCACGACCCACACCTGGGGATCCCAAGTTTGACTCTCAGGCAGGACCGAAATGTTTGGTCACATTTCCTTTCACCTAATGCTACTGCTGCCTTAGCAAACAATAATTAGGCAAGTGTAGACAACTGGAATATTGCCTGCCTTACTGTAGCCTGCCCTGTACTAGGCTGTTCAGTCCTTATAACAAAACACAGTATAATAGTTCATTTTTTAATTTTAATATTGTTAATTTCAAATATTGTTAAAATGCATTCTCTGATAACAGGAAACTAAAAAATAAATATGTAGTTTACTTTGACTACATATTCTTGTCGTGGAGCGAGAAAACATCACAAATACATCTCTGATTCACAATCATTGGTCGTGATTCTAGTCTCTAAACCCTGAATACGAATATTTTTTCCACACATTCATTTTCTAAAGAAACATGTTGTCACAATTTATGAAGTTCAGAGGCAAAAACAGCAGCTGTGTGTTGTTTCTGTCTTGCTTTTGAAAACATCACAGAGGATTGGGTTTTCTGATATCTGAGCCTTGTACACAATCTTTTTCACTGTCAGGGTCTTTTATGTCAGTATCATCAATGAATAATTTCAGATACAGTACTTATTTATTTAGTCATTATTAAATGATGATATGTCACCAGCCCATCCTCCAGGTTTGGTAGTACTCCTGACTGACAAAATACAAAGAGCTGGAAAGCCAATATACATTTGTTCCCACAGCATCTGAGATACTTGGCCCCTGGGGTAGTCTTGAGCTTTCTCAGAGAATTGAGTTCTCATTGACACTACCAGAGACCCAAGAGCTGCCAGTTTCCTGTTTTAGTGTCTCAGTGTCGTGAACCAGAGAGGAAATGTCTGTTGTGTCTTCAGTTCCTGTGTAGAAGCTGAGAAGCTCCAAGAGATCCATAATCTCTAACCTTTCATTATATTTACTTTATAACTTGTAACCTTTAAAATATCAAATAAAGCAAAATAAAACATTAAAAGAAGAGGGTGGAAGGTCAAAAGAACATGGAAATTCCATTGAGGGGGGGGACCTAAAAATGCCCTCTAATGCTTTGTGTGTGCTTTTCTCTGAGGCTATGGATACCCTTTCCCAACCAGATATGGTAACTTTCCTTATAAAATAACTTAAACAACAAATATATATTTTTCTTACCAAACAAATATGACACTTGACTGGCACATTTTTGTAACAGAATTCAGTATGCTTAATATAATCTTTTCTTACAACAAACACACTCTGGCACCCTTTGCAAATGTATGACATATTTCTTTTCCTTTTCTTCCTAAAACATTCATGATTAATATAATCTTTTTTTGTAGTATAGTCTCTATTGCACAAGTAGCAGTTAATTTTAATTTTGCTATTAATTAATTTAGCACTCTCGCATACTGAATCTTCTCCACTGGTCATAGATAAACTCAAATCCAAGCCTTTGGCATTATTATCTGAATAATATTCAAAATCCTTCAGCTTCTTTGCTATTTTCCTTCTCTTTGATTGGACTTGTGGTAACTCATCTAACATTAATTTGTTGTCCTTTTCTTTAATACTACTTTCTGTTTCACACTTTGAACTATTTTGAATGCAAGGCTTAATGTTAATATCTTTCCCTAAATTTTCTTCCGACACAAGGCATTTTAATTTCTGCTCCTGGTTTTCACACAATCGTGACCTCTGTATAATATTCCCAGCTTCCCTGTAGTTTTTAGTTTTTGATTCAATAAAACTAAAGTTTTCAAGTTGGTTGTCAATCACATTTTTGTAATACACATGGTCACTAGATGAAGATGTTTCTGAAAATTTTAAAGATGATAGAGACTGTTCCTCGGTTCCTTCATCAGACAACACATTTGTAATTAATAGAGTTTTATCTCTCTCACTGCCAGCAATTTCTGTTTCTTTTGATTCATCAATTTTTGATAAATTTCTGTGAATATTGATTTTTTCATTATAAAGTTTTAAAACTTTGTCTTTTAAAGTTTTCAGTTCTCTTTTATGATAATCTATTCCAAGCATCAGACGGTAGCACCGGAAGCAGAGATTCACAAAGGAAATATCTTTTTCTAGGACTTCCCTTACAACTTCGGACACTTGTGTGCCAGTGTGTCGCAGACGAGCAATGCCCTTTACACTCCTGCTTCCAACAAGTGTTCGAGGGCATGTAAAACAGCAGTCATAATCAAGCTTGCTTGACATTTTTCCTGAAAGAGAAAATGCAGTCAAACAAAGTTGGAATCTAATCTAATAGGCAAAAGGGGTTAAATGACTAGCAGCCCTGAAATCTTAACCTCTGATCTTCAGTGAACTCAACACTGTACTCTCAGTTCACAAAATAGATAATCACACAGATGCTCATATAGGAAAGTTTCAAACCTGACATTACTATCCAATATATCTAAGCTCTACAGGTGTACTGTACCATTTTACAGTCAATATATTTTCTCAAACAAAATGATCTTATACTGCAAAGACCCATAAGTCAATTTCTAAACATTTGAAAGACTTAAATACGATAAATATTAAGGCACAGTACAATATAAACTTTCTACTGTATATACAAGCTAAATTATGGAGTGAGGAGACACAAGAGGTTTCAAATCTTGCCTCAAAAAGTACCTATCAATTTGCAGCTATGACTTATGATACATCTACAACTCTTCCAATAAATACTGTACATGGTAAAGTACCATATTAATGTTATACTAACCTTGGTAGTTTTTATGCCGCATACTATTCATACTTAGTCAGTAATCCTAGGACTAAACGCTTCATCCAACTATGCAGAAATTTTTTTTTGTGTTGAGGGAGAGCATGGTGTTGGTGATTGCTAATTGCATTCTACTAAACCTAACCTAAAGTAACCTAACATTTTTACCTATCCTATTCTATCTTAACATAACCTACTAAAATGAAAAAATCCCTGCAAACATAAAGTAAGTTGCTTGGTACTACATGGAGGGCATACTGCATCTATCAAGTTTGCAAAGCCTATGTTTATCTCGGTACAGTACAATAGTCATACAGACTACATTCCAAAAGTAATTAACCTTAATGATAATATTATTAATCTCTCAAACTATCAAATTAATCTTGCACTATCAAAATACTATACAGTAGTGTTAGCTACTCTTTGCAGAGTATGAAGAAACAACTTATAAAAATATCACAGTCAAATGGGTGTAAAATTTACCTGCCTCACATAGGTCTATGGGATACTGAAGTAGCATTTCACAACATTTCCTATTAACCCAATATGTATCCTATAGTCTTTCTATGGACCCTTTACACATGAACAGTGACAAAAAGATTGGTTATTATGTGACTGTAACCTCTCCATCACTGCCCACAGGATGGATATACTGTATAGTTCATAATACACTAATTAAACAAAATTCTTTGTATAATTTATCTGTTCATGTTCTAGCAAAATATTAAAGTTTATGAAAGTGAGCAAGTAAACACCATATAGACTAAGCATTCAAGGATGAATTGTTGAAACAGGTCCATTGACTGATAAAAATACTATAAGTGAATATGAAGAAGGGTAAAGGCTTGCCAAACACAAGACTACGATCAGAAAGGCTAATCATAGTCAACAAAATACTGTACAACCATTATTGGTATTTTAACAAAAAGAAATTCCACTAACAGTGATCTGATAACTAAAACAGATCACTTCAAATTATGAAATTAAGCCTTATATCAGCTACAACAGCCAAGATAGTGCAAATAAATTATTCAATATTTATTTATTCTTCAATCGGTAAAAAATTGCATGAAAAGTCATAAAAAGCTAGCAGAATTGTGACAATGTTTTAGCACAAGAGGCATTAGAAATTCTTGTAAGTGATTTGAAAAAAAAAGTTAGTACTTCTCAATACTGTATGTATAGTTAATATAGCTATCATAGAAGATACAAAATTCTCAATAGAGGTAGGAATTTATTAAATTGAGGTGTAGTAGTATTTGCCCCCACGTGTTGCTGGCGATATTAGTCAGGTTCAAGCCCTAGGCAATGATCCTTAATTAACTGGTTGCCCTTAGTCACCTAGCAGAAAATTGGGATTTGATTGCAAACCAATTGGCAGGTTGCCTCCAAGGAAAAATTGGTATATGGCAAAGGCATAAGGGACAGCGCTAGCCTAAAAATTTCAGTTACAGTAACTTCAATATTTTTCAAAAATATTCAAAATTTATATATTTTCATATAAATATTTATTATATTAACTATGCTATATTAAAGCTGTAGCACCTTATCAAATATATATTACATTATTAGCTCTGAAGTCCTCGAAATATTTTACTCTAAATATGAATCTCTCTCTGTAATCTGTATATGGTACACACAGTGTATGACATCTGGATACTGTACAAGTCCCATCATAAACAAAACAGTTCAGCAATGAATTTTAAAGCCTACCTTACCCAACCAAACCAAACTGAGCCTAACACTACATCACCTAATACCCTACATCTAACACCATATGGTAGCCAACTCCAAAAAGTGTAATTTAACATGCTTTATTATTTGAAAGTTTACATATAACTGAGGTCAAACGTGTATGAAAACCGAGAGTTCACACCTGCATTTTTAATAAAATATATTTACCCTCCTGAACATATTTTCAGTGCTATAAACTTATCCTATCACAATAGTGTACTTATTCATGGTTCCCAAACTTACCAGAGCAAGGTGTCAACTTCACGTTACTTGACTTTACCTGAGGGTCACGCTCTCTAGTGGCCTAAGCGAGGACAGGATGCCGGCGGCTTGTCAATGCCCCTGTAACGGTTCTTGGTTACGTAAAGTATGGTGACAAATAAACACAGACACTAAGATACTATATATATATTTGGTCGAATATACAGAAGTACACAGGTGATACGTTGGTGTGAGTTGAGCGCACTGAGCGTTGGTACAGTATCTCGCAAGTGTCTGCTCTAGACCACACTTGAAAGTAGACTCTGGTTTAATATTTGCTATCCTGCTGCTTATATGCCCGGGCAACTCCTCACCGTATTTCTCGGGCAACGCCTCACCTCATTCATCTCCAAAGGTTGATAGGAATATTAACAATGCATTTGGAGCGAGTATATTATTGGATAATCTACTCGCTACACCCCCACCATCATCATTTGTGCATATGATTTTATCGAATTGGAGTTTAAAATTCGGCAGTGTATTTGGCATTTTTAGATTCTATTTTAAGAGAAAATAAGCTTCTTTATGATACGTGCAGTTGTTGTTACTTGTCTGATAGGCAGCGACGAGACCAACTTTCTTCTCCTGAAGACTGACCAGGAAGTAAACATTTGCCTTCACAACATCAGCGAACACTGTCCAGCTAGTTTTTTCCAGCGAACACTGTCCAGCTAACTTTTTCCAGTGAACGCTTTTCAGCGAACACTTTTCAGCGAGCAACAGTACACTCAAACATTCAACAATACTATACCATACTACTTGTGTAAAGGAGGACTTGTATATGTTTATCTCTCAGAATGTTTGGCAATATGTTTATTGCTTGTGATGTGTGTCTATATAGGTATTAACACGTTGTACTGAACGGGGTGAGAATAGCTTGAGCTACCTCATCCCTTTGTGTGTATTTTACCTCAATAAACTTATTTCAATTTCAATTTCAATTTCAACAATACTACTACTAATAATAATAATAATAATAAATAATAATAATAATAATAATAATAATAATAATAATAATAATAATAATAATAATAATAATAATAATAATAATAATAATAATAATAATAATTTATTTATTTACAAGTAGGCACAATGGATTGGTGATATTACAAAAGTTAGGTTAATTTATCATGCATCCCATACCCATCTTGTGGACGGTAGTGAAAAGCAGTGTTGCCAGATTGGGCTACAAATAGCGAATTGGGCTACTTTTGAGAGCCCCGCGCTCCCAAATTTTTTATTTCGCTACTTGCTACTATTTGGGCTAATTTAAAAGCAAGATGTGCTAATTGGGCTATTAATGTTAAGAATGTACGATTGCGAGTTACATGAAAGTAACTAAGCTATAAATAATTGTAATTAATAATAATTGTAAATATTAATTAATACTAAATAATATTATTTAATAAATTAGTCCCAATTCAATGCAGTGTTTTCTTCCAAGCACAGAAACTTGTAAATATAATTACAAGATAATAGATAGATCGATAAATAAATATACAACTTTCAAATATTGCACCAAGTAATAGCGAGAGGAAAAAACTAGACAGTATACATTACATTCGAAATTATTAATGGATGAATGGTAATAAATTATTGTATGTTTATTTATTTATTTATGTTTGTATTATTATTTATTTATATGTTATGTTATATGTTTGTAAGTATACCAGACAAAGTCCATTTAATGGCAGAATTTAGCCATTTTGTGTAAAAACTTTTATATCTCATATTATTAATTATTATTATAACAGTAATCTAAAAAAGTCATAGTTTGTATATACAAGAGATGAAACAGAGAGCCATGAGCTAGAGCGATGTGCTGGGTCCATAAGGAGGCCGAGCTTCCAGAAATACCTTCCTGTGATTGGCTGTTGCGGGGAATACCAACACTCTTTTATGAGTAAAATTTAAACTAAGAAATAGGTCCTTGTGCACAACAACAAGGTTGTTGTGAAAAAGAACAACAATTTCTGTTTTGCACCTGACAGAAATCTCCATCTAACTGAATAATTTACTCGAATAAGAGGGCAGAGCAGTGTATCATTATTTGTGTCAAGGCAACTCCCAATAATAACGTCTCAAGTTAGGTAGCCAGCCAATTTTTATATAACATCTGTTATATCCTGCAATATTTAATTATCACGTTATTAACACTTTAAATAATTAACACTTCACTTTTTTTGGGTAAATTAAAGTTAAAGCAGAATTCCATAAGCAGGACTAGTGGGCTGAATTAAGATGATTTACTAAGTGGATGGCACCTATAGCTGATCCCTTCCTGTGATTGGCTGTTGTGTGAATGTCAACAAAGAATATCTACCAATGATATGCCATTTATTATGCACCCCATACATCTTGTGGGCGGAGCTTGGAACCTCCTACCCGAGCACAACAACCCGCCTTATGGGTTGCTGTTTGGCTATTTATAGTGCGTTGGAAAAAACAGAGATGGCGTTAGTTGTATTTTGCAGGATAATTTGTTATAAGTGTAATTTGATGTCAACAGATGGCGTAAGCTGTATCTTATGGCCACTGTTGACCAGCCAGTTGATAGTGTTCTTATCTGCCGACAGATGGCATCAGCTGTATTATTATTATTTTAATAATATTATTACATTAATAATAATGTATTATTATTACTTTAAACACTGATCTATACGTCTGGTAGCTTATAACAAGGTTTTATACCATGCTGGTATTAGGTAACTAGAATTCTGCAATTACTTTTTTTTTTATCAACTGTTGAGGATATGTAAGACAAATGTAAGGTTTTGAGGCTAAGTAACGAAGATAGTTACAAGATACGAGCCAGATGGTGTTGAGATTGGAAAAGGGATTATGATAAGAACTTAAGCCAAAAAATCAATGCATAAATGTTCGCAAATATGAGACTGGGATTTATTTATCGAAAAGTTAGTAATAAAACACGCTTTCTAGTTCTTTATTTTTAAAATTAAGACCAGGGATTCTGTCTAACGAAGCTGCAAGCTAAAACACCGTTATCCTATAATGTTCATCTGTAGCTTGACCCTAAATACTCGTTTATTAAACGAATTTATTGTTAGAGTTCATTAATAAACAACTTTGTTGAAGGCAGTTTTTCTTCTGCAACAAATACCTTCCTGTGATTGGCTGTTGCGGGGAATGCCAACGCTTATATGAATAAAATGCAAAATAAGAAATACGTCTTTGGTCAATAACCTTGTTGTTGTACAAAACAACAACAATTTCTGTTTTATACAAGACAGAAATTTCCATCTAACTGAATAATGTAGACCAATAAGAGGGCGGAGGCATTGTATCGCCGATATTATTTGTGTGAGGCAACTCCCACTGATGACGTCAAAAGTTAGGTAGCCAGCCCATGTTTCTGTAACACCCGTTACATCCTGCAGTATTTAATTATCACTATATTAATATTTTTAAATACTTAACATTTCACTTTTTACATAGATTAAAGTTGAAGCAGAATGTCATAAGCAAGGATGGTGTGCTGAATAAAGATGATTTATTAAGTGGATGGAGCCTTTAGCTGATCCCTTCCTGTGATTGGCTGTTGTGTGAATGTCAACAAAGAATATCTACCAATGATGCCATTTATTATGCACCCCATACCATCTGTGGGCGGAGCTTGGAACCTCCTACCCGAGCACAACAACCCGCCTTATGGGTTGCTGTTTGGCTATTTATAGTGCGTTGGAAAAAACAGAGATGGCGTTAGTTGTATTTTGCAGGATAATTTGTTATAAGTGTAATTTGATGTCAACAGATGGCGTAAGCTGTATCTTATGGCCACTGTTGACCAGCCAGCTGATAGTGTTCTCTTCTGCCGACAGATAGCATCAGCTGTGTTATTATTACTTCCGAATTCCCTTTAAACACTGATCTACAAATCCCTTGGCTTATGATAAGGTTTTATACCATTTATGATAAGTATTAGATAACTGGAGTTCTGCAATTACTTTTATTTATCAACTGTTCAGGATATCATCATATAATGTCTGGTTAGGACGTACTGCTCTCGATTGATGAAGATTAAGCCACCCAAGAGGTGGCACGGGCATGAATAGCCCGTAAATACTGCTCTCGTAATATTATTCAGGGGGGTGGGGGAACTATCAAGTGAAAGCGCCAAGCCATTACGACTATATAGCACTCGGAAGGGATCAGGATATACGGATTTGGGATGGAACGGGGGAAAGGAATGGTGCCCAACCTCTTGGGCGGTCGGGGATTGAACGCGGACCTGTAGGAAACGAGACCGTTGCTCTACCGTCCAGCCCAAGTGGTTAAGCGTAATATTATTAAAACAACAATTTATGCATATAATAACAGCATTTCACACTAAAAATACTTGGATATATTGAAATTTGGTAGTGAATTCCAATTTAGGAATTTCTATGACTAAACTGTACTTTATAATAATTTTTTATGTACTTACTACTTATTATTAAATTGTTAAATACTTACTATAATAATTAAATAAATTATTTTATTTAATATTTAAATTAAATGATAAAATAATAGGTAATAATAAATCATTGTGTAGGGGGACAGGCAGCCAGTGTATATATACATGTTAGGCTTATACCAAAGGTGCCACAAAGGTGCCAAATTAAAGACTGGGTGCTGCCGGGGCGGGCCCAAGGGCTACTGGCGGCCCTGGCCAGGCTGAACTTCCGCGCCCTTATAATCACCAGTGTTTAATAATCTTCACAGGGAGAAACAACTGTAAATATGGGAACAGTTTATTACAACATACACGGTAAAGAAAACAGCTCAGAAACTAAGGAAATAAAGCTGAGATAGAACTTGGAAGGGGGGTGGGGTCAGGATAAGGATTTAGGATGGGGCTAGGGGGAAGGAATGGTGACCAACCACCATTGGGTATATATAGTATTGCTTGTTAAGTAAATGGTTGGATAACTGCGTTGGATTTATTTTGGCTGTTGCAGATACGCGAATAATTTTTAGCCCCGAAGCATAAAAACATTCCAATAGATTTCAACTACTATTCACATTATGACGTTTTAAAACAATTTGTTATTATCATCAACTCATTATTTCCATTCTCAAAGCCTTCCATAAGCTCCAAATAACAATTCGGGATAATTATGAGTGGAAATAATAATTAAAAAAATTCTGAGTTGACCCAGCTATCGTGAGGGCGTAGCTGCTGGAGGAGGATAAGACCTGCACTGATCACTGGACACTGACGGAGGCGTCTCATGCTGTCACCGTCACCTGGTGCTCCTCTCGAAGCTCCTGCTGTCGTTACACTGCACCACACATAGGGTGAAGAAGGCGTGTGTGGAGTGGAGTGGTAAGTGCTCTTCGTCGAGTAGTGAAGGGCGTGGCGAGGGGCGTCTCCACCCGGCCACGTTTACAAGTACTCAATTCTTACTGGCATAAATGGTGTGGTATTTCGGCGATATTTGGCATGGCGTACTTAAACAGTTCTGACTGGTGCCTGAGGCTCGTGAGCTGACTGGTGCCTGAGGCTCGTGAGCTGACTGGTGCCTGTGGCTCGTGAGCTGACTGGTACTCTGAGACCCGTGATCGAGGTTCGTGATCTGACTGGTGCTTTGAGACCCGTGAGCTGACTGGTGCCTGAGGCTCGTGATCTGACTGGTGCCTGAGGCTCGTGGGCTGACTGATGCCTGAGGCTCGTGATCTGACTGGTGCCTGAGGCTCGTGGGCTGACTGATGCCTGAGGCTCGTGATCTGACTGGTGCCTGAGGCTCGTGATCTGACTGGTGCCTGAGGCTCGTGATCTGACTGGAGCTCTGAGACCCGTGATCTGACTCTTGGTCTGATGTTCGTGATCTGACTTGTGCCATGAGGCTCGTGATCTGACTCGTGCTGAGGCTCGTGATTTCACAGGCTTGTGTTCTGCAGTTCATGGTCACACAGACTTGACCTTGAGGCTCGTGATCTTACAGGCTCATGCTGAGGTTCGTTATCTCACAGACTCAGCATGCTCTTTGGCCACGAGTCACGTGGGACTCGTGGTCTCACAGGCTCATGTTCTTAGTCTCGTGATCTCACAGGTTCATGCTCTGAGACTCGTGATCTCACAGGCTCATGGTCTGAGACTTCATCTCACAGGCTCAATTAAGCTCTGAGTCTCGTGATCTCCCAGGTTCGTGCTCTGAGGTTTTTGATCTCCCAGGCTCATACTCTTGAGACTTGATCTCCCAGGCTCACGCTATGAGGCTCGTGATTCCTCAGGCTCATACTCTGAGGCTCGTGATCTCCCAGGCTCATGCTCTGAGGCTCGTGATCTCCTAGGCTCATACTCTGAGGCTCGTGATCTCACAGGCTCATGCTCTGAGGCTCGTGATCTCACAGGGTCATGCTCTGAGGCTCGTGATCTCCTAGGCTCATACTCTGAGGCTCGTGATCTCACAGGCTCATGCTCTGAGGCATTTGATCTCCCAGGCTCATGCTCTGAGGCTTTTGATCTCACAGGCTTATGCTCTGAGGCTCATGATCTCACAGACTCATGCTCTGAAGCTCGTGATCTCACAGGCTTGTGCTCTGAGGCTCTTGATCTCGCAGGCTAATGCTCTGAGGCTCGTGATCTCACAGGCTCATGCTCTGAGGCTCGTAATCTCACAGGATTGTGCTGAGTATCGTGATCTCGCAGGTTTGTGCTCTGAGGCTCTTGACCTCATAGGTGTGTGCTCTGAGGCTCTTGATCTCGCAGGCTCACGCTCTGAGGCTCGTAATCTCACAGTTCAGGAATGGTCCAGGATGGATAGAAACGTCATCGTCCCTTCATTTTCTAATGTGTGGTTTGGTCAACATATTACATGTGGTCGCCGGGGCGTAGTCTCCCGTAACGAGTAGTGACAATGCTGTTTGAGTTCGGCGGTCGTACACGCCCTCTTTGACCTACAAAGTCAAACTCGATTCAAACACGATCATATCCGCCCAAGCTATGGGTAGGGTTTGGTAAATGGTGATACCCAATATTTGCATTTATTTATTTATTCATTTCGATATTTACTAGAAAATACAATTGTTTCTAGCATTTTTAAGCTTGTGATGTTATATCTTCTTATGGCACTCGATATCCACTAGCACTGGTTGCAAAGGATTGAGGGGGGGGGGGGGATTTGATACCACTTACCCCCTAGATTTTATATGACAGTGTGTCCGTTCATATTACCTATTAGTCTGTCTTTCCTGCCACTATTTCTGACCATGATGGGAAATGAGCCCGGAAATTCCTTAAGTACAATACTTTCGTATTAACCAAAATATCTTCAGAAAGCTGTATTACATCTTTATCCCTCATCCATATATAAATATCCAGTGTATATATATATATATATATATATATATATATATATATATATATATATATATATATATATATATATATATATATATATATATATATATATATGTGTGTGTGTGTGTGTGTGTGTGTGTGTGTGTAAATCACGAAAATTAACACGTGATGAAAAAATGTGACAATGTCAGACCACGGAGGAAGAATTGAAACAGGAATTTCCTTAAGTACTTTCGTATATTAATACATCTTCATTCCTTCTGAAGATGTATTAATATACGAAAGTACTTAAGGAAATTCCTGTTTCAATTCTTCCTCTGTGGTCTGACACAGTCATACAATATATATATATATATATATATATATATATATATATATATATATATATATATATATATATATATATATATATATATATATATATATGTATATATATATGTATATATATATATATATATATATATATATATACACATATATGTATATGTATATATATGTGTATATATATATATATATTATATATATATATATATATATATATATATATATATATATATATATATATATATATATATATATATATATATATTATAATAATACATTATAATATATATATTATAATGTATTTACAGTATATTGTTCTCTTTTACAGGTATGTAAATGTACCGGAGAAAATAATGTGTGAATATATGGTAGGTATTGAGCCACTAGGTTTCTTCACTGCCCAGGACCAGCTACATCCGGACCTTAGTGCTGATCATTAGCGCCGCGCACTCTTGAGTTGGCACCTTATACCTTGCACTACTTTAATAGAAGTGTGCAAATATTAGTTCTGTCGATCACGGGAAAAGCATACATAATTCTACAAGCAAGAGACCTATAAAACAATGTTCTTTTGATTAGAACACAGTGCCTTTTCTGTCGAAATATTTAGCTGTAAGAATCATATTGGTAGCGTATAGTGATGTTTGCCATAATTACACCAGCAGTGTGTAAGAGTTTCCAATGTATTTGCAGAACTTATCATTTAATTTGTATACACAAGGAATAAGGAGCAGTGTTTTCTTCGAATGCTTGCTGTGGTTATGGACATTCTGGGACTCTCAAAGACTGTTTTAATATCAATAATTTTTTTTGGTAAAAATGAGGTTAGCGTCAGAGTTTTGTGAATTGTTTCGTAATTTTAGAGTGGTTTGCTTGATTATTTTAGGAGGATGTTTATCAAGTGATTGGTAAACTATTCTTGATATCTCAGGAGACATTATCTGTTAAGTGATGTTTTAGGATACCCTAGCACTTTACTACATTAGTGCGTAGTTAAATGAACCAGTACTAATATGGGACGTTTCTCGTATCATTCAGATTTCTAGGAGTGAAAAACAACGCATCAAGGCCCACTGCACATATAAACCTCATGTATAGCTAGGTAATGTTGTCCTTATAATTATGGCCAATAGTCTTGAAGTTTACAGTTGCAAGGTGTGTACTAAGACATTTTCACGATTATGCAAACTTAACTCTCACATGCATGAGCACACGACAGAGAAATCTCACATATTCTGGGATATATTTTCTCCGTTGCCAGATTACACTCATACTCAGCAGTATGGAGAGAGAAAATCTCTTGCTTGTACAGTTTGTACTGAAAGCTGTGTAAATGAAGTTGACTATGCACGGAATATGCAGCTAATTCACGAGGACGAAGCAAAAGATCAAATTTTCAAGCTTAAAAAAGTCAAGAGACGAGGCGCTAAGAAGAAAGCACAAATTAATACATATGAAGGCCCTTCCTATTTGATTCGAAATGTGGGTGAGGTGAATGTTGATAGAATTAGTTTTGAATGTGATGCACAACATTACGGAGTGAGAAAACCTTTTTCTTGTACAGTTTGTAATGAAAGCTTTGAAAGTGAAGCTGACTTAGAAACACATTTCCAGCTAAGTCATGAAGACAAAGAAATAGTGGAAACTTTGAAGACTAAGGTGCCAAGTAACAGCTCAAACAAAGTCTATTTTGAATGTGAAGTGTGTAAGCAGAGACTAACGCAGAAATCATCTCTTAGAAGTCATCTAAGAAAACACACTGGAGAAAGACCTTACAAATGTAAAGATTGCAAGAAAACATTCACATTTTATCAGTGTCTTTGGAATCACGCAAGAAAGCACACAGGTGAAAAACGTTTCAAGTGTGATCAGTGCACGAAAAGATACGTGTACTATCAAAGTCTGTGGTGCCATAAAAAGCTTCATTCGAGTGAAAAGCCATTTGTGTGTGACATTTGTGGTATTAAGTTTGCGTTGTCTCGCCGTCTTAAGTGTCATTTAAGGCAACACACAAATGAGGAGATACATGCAAACGATGAAAAAGAAATTCGTCATGGCGATTCTGAAGTTTCTGTTAAGATTCATTTGGGTGTGAAACCTTTTGAATGCATGGTGTGCAAGAGGAGATTCGGTTCTAATTCATCTCTTCAGAGTCACAAAATGCAACACACTGATAATAGATCAAATGAATCCAAAATCCTTAAGAAAGTTTCAAAAGAATCACAAAACATGGTAAAATCAGCAAGACTTAAACTTAAAAAGCTTAAGCAGTGTGATATATGTAACAAGATATTTACTTATACAAAATGCCTTATAAAGCATCTTGAAAAGCATGAAATTGATAAATGTTATAAATGTGATGTTTGTGGAAAGGAGTTTGCAAAATATGCTGCATTGAAAACTCATTTAAGTTTACACACAGGAGAAAGACCTCATGTGTGTTTGGTATGTGGGATGTCTTTCATCGAATATTTTAGCCTTTGGAAGCACAAGAGAGAGCATACAAGAGACAAAACCTACGCATGTGGTGTATGTGGCAAAATATTTTCACAGTTATCTAATTTAAATAGTCATGTTCGAGTTCATACACCTGAAGATCTAAATGGAGGCACTAAGAGATCTGATTTGCATCATGAACTCAAAACTTGCAAGAAGGCACCTGAAGAAATGAAGTTTCAATGCAAGATTGACGAGAACAAGAAAGAGAACTCGACTCGCCACAGAACACAGGCATTGAAGCGCATTGCTTCAGGTAAGAAGCTCTTTGCATGCAAGGATTGTGAACGCAAATTCAAACGTAAGGGTTGGTTGACTCGTCATTACAGTACAGTACACAAGCACAGAAATGAGAATTACAACAATAAGAAATACACGTGTGAACAGTGTGGGGCAGTTTTTGCTTCAGAAGATGATATTATCAATCACCAAAAATGTTTAAATTGCATGAAGTGTGGCAAGGAATTTAAGTGCAGTTACTTATTTTGCTTCCATAATAGTCCACATCTTTGCCAGAGTTCATCTCAGGAGTTTGGTGACATGAATGAAGGTAGTGAGAAACCTTTAAGAGAAAATTATTCGATTAATGCTGTAAATGAAATTAAGGAAACGCTAGGCATGGACAATATTTACCCACGGAATCAAGAAGAACTTGACAGCCTAGATAGCGAGGTGGTAGATGAACTTGATTACCATATTGTTGTAAGTTCAAATGCTGTTGAAGAGATCAGTGAACCTCAAGCACTTCCTGATGCAGCTATCTATTCAGATTATGGAAACTGTATAGAAACATGCAACAGCTCCGGAGAATGGTTAAGGTTTGAGTATAAATCTGTTTTACCTGCAATTAATAATACCAATATTGGCAACAGAATGAGTATGAGTGAGTGGGAAAATATGTATATAATTGAAAACACTGCCAGTACCCCGCAGGAATGGGGGGTGTGGGAGGTGCCTTATGCTAATAAAGCCCCATGCACATATCACCACATGGAACACTATGCTAATAATGGAACTCATCCATGTGTCATATGTGGTCTGGTTTTCTCCACGGTAACTGACCTCACTACTCATGCTATGGGTCACATAACAATTGTATAAGTTTTTGTTTATACTTATTGGTGCGTTTTTCGAAACTGATATAGTGCATAATACGCAGAATAGCTGCCTGATACCACCATTAATATATAAGTATATAAATAATCAAACCATTTTAATTCATACTTAATGGGTGAAAGAAAATGTTTATATCATACCTGTCTTAATGAATGGTATAGGTGTTTTTGAAGTATATTTTGCACATATATTTTGCTAAGGTTGCTCAATATCCCCCATTGCTTGTTCTTTTATGTACAGTTTATCTATATATACATACATACATACATGCAGAGAAACCACATTTTATTTTATTTTTAGAATTATTTCATGTTTTCAAATGAGGTTTCACTGCATTTAATAGATCAGCACTTTTTGTTGCATGTATGTACACAGACACATAAATACATACTTATAAATACATATACTGTACAGATACATACATATAAATACATATTCGTAAATACATTCATACATATAAATACATGCATACACATAAATACATACATAGAAATAAATACATACACATAAATACTGTCCATACATTCATATAAATACATACATATTCATGAAAACATATTCATAAATACATACATACAAAAATATAAATACATATTCATAAATATATACGTACAAACAAATACATATTCATAAATACTGTACATACATACAAACAAATACATATTCATAAATGCTGTACATACATACAAACAAATACATATTCATAAATATATATACATACAAACATAAATATATATTCATAAATATATACATACACACATAAATACAATATACTGTATAAGGGATACAACCCCTGGCTGAACTAATGAGAATAATGTTGCTTCGAATAAATGACATTCGAAGATCCTTTGTGTTTGACTTCTCTTATGTACTAGTGTATTGTCTTCTACCACTCTTCATTTATTTGTATTTGTATAAGGTGCTTAATTTTACCAATTTAATTGTTTACAATGTATTATGTGCATGCATGCAAAAAAAAAAATACTTTATTGGCCATATTGAACATATGTACATATACCACATAGTCATTTATATTTTCAGGTGCACGCATTTTTAAGCATGCCTGTAGATGAGAATAGCATTGTGCATCAAAATTTTGTAGTTTAACGAAGTCTTAAGTTGTCTACAGAGTACAGTAGTTGATTTATCATAGTATATAGTAATTAATCTACGTTTGTCTACGGTATTTACTGGGTTTTGTTTTTTTTTAGTCGTGAATTCAGATGTTTCAAAGAAAGTTTGCAGAATGATAAAGTTACTGTATTTGATTTCTATTTTCATCACTTAGCTGAGTTGTATAACTGCTCACTCTTACTGTTTTGTAGAGCAGAGATATTTTATTGTTCTGAAAGTGGTAAAGTTATCCACTATAATACCTTTTCACACTTGTTTGCTTTGCCACAAATAAAATGACAGCAGTTTTCTTTATTTACTTGTAAAATTAAAATTTAGTTGAATTGTTTGATACTGTGTTGTGTCTGAAATACTGAATTGTGTAATTATTGTGCATGCGCTCACACTTCACTTTTCGAGAACGTCGACCTGCGGGATTATTGTGCGCCTGCTGGATTTTGGTAACAGATTTTAAATTCTGTATTCCGCAATTATTAGGCAGCAGGATGGACTATTTGGACGGATCAGTAGAGCGACGGCATCGTTCTCTGCAGGTCGGCGTTCGATTCCCAAGGACCCAAGTGGTTAGGCACTGTTCCTTCCCTACGTCCTAACCCAGATCATTGTTCTCATATCCCTTCCAAGTACGATATGGTTGTACAAGTTTAACCGTTGTTCCTAATAAAACCTTGTCAAGAATATTAACAAAATTAGTGAACCTAGAATTTACTGGAGTTTTAATACAAAACTGGTAGCAGCAGTTGGCTTATATTAAACAAGTTTTGAAGGAAGTGAACCAAATTTTATTATTTTTTACTTTTTTATGCTGTAAATAATAGATTGTCTATTTTGCACTATTTTTCTTATTACCGTAACAATTTTATGTACTGTATTTACTTTTTTTCTGTAGAATTGCTTTGTATTATACAGTACAGTGTATTGTCATGTCATTCTCGGTAAAAGGAAAAACATATTTGAATCTGTTAATCATTTGATTACTTTTTTGTGTATACATTTCAAATAATTGTTTAACCATTAATGTTTTGCATGATTAATTAATATTTGAAAATATGTTAGTGAGGCAAACATTTTAATGAAAGGAATCATTATTGTTAAACTGCTTCTTATAATTACTAAAATGGCAATGGTCTTAGGCGAATATTTTACATTTGCCTTTATGTAAGCCATTTTTTCTTAGCCAATTTTAGCTAGTACAGTTTTCGAATGTAAGCTATAAATAAAAGTTAACAGCCATTGTAATATTTATTACCATAAGATATAATTTAATAATTCACTGTGTCGAATTATCCAGTGTGTGTGTGTATATCCTCACCAGTGTGTGTGTATATATATATATATATATATATATATATATATATATATATATATATATATATATATATATATATATATATATATATATATATATATATACATTAGGTAATGGGGCTCTCTCTCTGCTGGACAACCGCTGTGGTAAGGCTTCTCTTAATAATGTCATATATATATATATATATATATATATATATATATATATATATATATATATATATATATATATATATATATATATATATATATATATATGTGTGTGTGTGTGTCTGTTAGGCTTATATCGAGGTTCCCTAATCCACCAGGGTCGAATTACTGATCCTTCCCAGGATGCAACCCCCACAAGGTGACTAATTCCTGGGTAAATATTTACTGCTAGGTGATAAGGGGCAGTATAGGGGTGATAGGAAACGCTTCCAACAGTTTGTGTCCCGCAGTCTAGAATAATATAGCTAGAGAGTGCCACAGCAACATCACTAGAAGTCGTAATATACGTATCTCCAATGATATGGAGAATAGATCAGGCATTGTTCATATGACATAGAATAAAGTGATTGTTCAAACACTACAAAACTTGGACGGGGAAATCTATCTGACCATTGGTTCATCCTAGCTTCATTTCGAATGCCAAATTTACCAAGGCTGCTACTCTTAACGTGAAGGGTGATATTTTATAGAAAAAAATTGAAATCGTAGCCTCTATTATAGGTTGTAACCTATTTTTGTGTTCTGTTAATGGCGAGAACCAACTTGTTCAAAATTGCCGTTGCCTGCTAATATTTCCATACAAATTTGTAATATCTAAACAACTGTAGAACCTCTTTATTAAGTTACGATTATTATACGGCGTTTCTCAACACAGTTGCAATAACATTAATTATTTACTAACTGAATTTCTATTGTATTCAGTGATTTCAAGTTCGCTTACTTAAATAATTTATATCGTCCTATGCAGTTTCATTTCCAAGACGACTGTCAGTATTATACATGAAGCAGCAATAGGATATATATATCTGATGATGTTTCTTAAACCTTTGATAACGTTGAACAATTAAAAGTAAAATTGTAAACTCAACGCCAGCTCTGCCGTAGATAGAGACACTTTTTAACTACTTTAGTAAATTAACTGTTAATTGAAATACTATATTCTCAATTAGGAATTTTCGGTTTTGTAATGGAGTGAAGCAATGGAAGGTTGAGTCATTTTGTTCTCTGTGAACACGGACCCGATAAATGGAAGGATGCGAGAGTTGTTTGTTTGAAAAGTTGACAACACATGTGTATGTATTAAGTTGCTTAGAGAATCATACATTTCCCCGAAAAGGTCAATGCATGAATATCTGCGTATACACTTCATATTACCCTTGGGGTAGCCCAAGTGCTCATACCTTCCCCTGTTGAACATACAGTGAAGTGAATAAGTAATTAGAAAAAGAAGGCACCAAGCCGGGGAGATTATGCAACACATGGAAGTAAAGCCTAATATACCTTGTATGTATATTTCTCCAACTACACACACACTTGCTCCATCTGAAACTCAGTTTTAATGTTCATTCCCGCCGTATACCCGGGTGAAATGGGTAGAAAAGAGGAGCGGGTAGAAAAGTGAGAGGAGGGATAGGGGAAGAGAGGGGTGTTAGAGACCCGGGGACAGCCGGATACCCCATCTTTATTTATTTATTTATTTATTTATTTATATACAAGAGGGTACATTGGGATTGTGAGGATACATAGCATAGTAATTAAATTCTTATAAATTCATCTTTTTTACAATTTACATTCATCTAGTATTATTTTTTTAACCAAACGACTAATCATAGGCAGCCAGCGTTTAGGTTTACATAATTAATTGGGTACTGTTTTTCTCAGTTAAATTGATTAAAGGTAGTAGACCGGCCTACAGCTGCCATGTGTATGTTTAACAGTGTCGCATATGTTTCCCTTGTAGTTGATGTATTTACTAATAAGGAATCAATGTTGTCATACATTACTCTTCCTAGATGAAATAGTTAATATGTGATTTGTGCTATTCTGTGGCACTTGCTTGCCTTGTACTTCACACCAATGGCAAGTTTGTTGATCGGTGGTGTTTAGGGGATAAGGAAATATGGGTTGTAAGCGTAAGATGCGAAGGTTTGTGCTGAGAGTACATGGTTACCCTGCGCCAGGGTCCTGGGATGAGCCTGGTCGCGCAGCGTGGCATCTCTCCGCCGCGGAGTTGAATCGCTCGATACCAGTTAGTGCACTCCAAGAGTTTGTGTCGCGTGGGGCTAGTGCGAGCGCTTCTCTCACCTAAACTCTCACACGTTTCCCTATAGCAGGAATTACAGCTCGTCTGAAGAATAAAGGTAAGTTGTATTCATGGGTGGCTTTGTGCGGAGCGAGTCTCAACGGCGAGTGGCTTGTCGGCAGGGAGTAGACTGGTCTGAACTTGGTGAGTTTGACAGGCGTGAGTCGGGAAGCCGGTCTTTGTTGTGATGGCAAGGTATCATACCTGGCTGGCAAGAATTATCCCCCTAACAAGAGTCATTTCAATTCTT